AGAGGTTGGACTAATTTGCAGTCCCACCAGCAGTGTAGGAGTGTTCCTCTCTCTCCACATCCATGCCAGCATTTATTGTTTGGAGACTTTTTGATAAAGGCCATTCTCACTGGATTTAAGTGATGTCTCATTGTGGTTTTGATTTACATTTCCCTGATGATTAGAGATGTTGAGCACTTTTTCATATGTTTGTTGGCCATTCTTCTGTCTTCTTTAGAAAAGTTTCTGTTCAAGTCCTTTGCCCATTTTTTAATAGGGTTATTTGATTTTTTCTTGCTGATTTTCGTGAGCTCTAAGTATATTCTAGTTGTCAGCCCCTTATCAGATGCGTAGGATGCAAAAATTTTCTCCCATTCTATAGGTTGTCTGTTTACTTTCATGACTATTTCTTTGCTGTGCAGAAGCTTTTTAGTTTGATTATGTCCCATTTATTTATTTTTGTTGCTGCTATGATTGCCTTTGGGGACTTCTTCATAAACTCTTTGCCTAGGCCGATGTCTAGGAGAGTGTTTCCAACATTTTCCTCTAGAATTCTAATAGTTTCATACCTTAGGTTTAAGTCTGTTATCCAGAATGAGTTGATTTTTGTGAGAGGTGAAAGATATGGGTCCTGCTTTAGCCTTCTGCAGGTGGCTATCCAGTTTTCCCAGCACCATTTATTGAAAAGGGGTTCTTTTCCGCAGCATATGTTTTTGTCTGCGTTGTCAAAAACTAGATGGCTATATGAGGATTGTTTTATATCAGGATTCTCAGATCTGTTCCACTAGTCAATATTCCTATTTTTGTGCCAATACCAAATTGATTTAATTATTATAGCTTTGTAGTATAGATTGATATCTGGTATATTAATGCCTCCCATTTTGTTTTTGTTGCCTAGAATTGCTTTTGATATTCAGGGTCTTCTTTGGTTCCATACGAAGTGTAAAATTATTTTTTCTGTATCTGTGAAGAATGTTGATGGGATTTTAATAGGTATTGCATTGAATCTGTAGATCAGTTTGGGTAGTATACACATTTTAATGATGTTGAGTCTGCCGATCCACGAGCATGTATGGATTCCATCTGTTTCCATCCTCTGCTATTCCTTCCTCAGTGTTCATAGTTCTCCATGTAAGGTCTTTTACGTCTTGTTAAGTATATTCCTAGGTACTTTAAATTTCTTTGTTGCTGTTGTGAAGGGATTGAGTCTTGATTGTCTCAATTGATCGTTGTTGGCGTATACGAATGCCTCTGATTTCTGTGTATCAATTGTATCCTGAGATTTACTAAATTATTGATCAGTTCCAGGAGTTCTGGTTGAATTTTGGGGTTTCTAGATATAAATCCTATCATCCAAATAGTGAAAGTTTAATCTCTTCTGCTCCTATTTGGATACCTTTAATTCCACTTTCCTGTCTGATTGCTGTAGCCAGAACTTCTACCACTATCTAGAGTAGAAGTGGAGATAGTGGGCAGCCTTGTCTGGTTCCAGTTCTAAGTGGGAATGGTTTCAATTTTTCCCCATTAAGTATGATTGGCTATATCTGTCATATAGGCTTGTATCATTTTTAGGTATGTCCCTTCTATGCCTATTTCTGAAGTGTTCGTATCATGAAAGGGTGTTGAATTTTGTCAAAAAGCTTTTTTCTGCATCTATTGAAAGAATCATGTGTCTTTGTTTGCTTCTGTTTATGTGATGAATTGCATTTATAGATTTACGTATGTTGAACCATCCCTGCATCCTGGAATGAAGCCACTTGGTCGTGATGTATTATTTTTTGATAAGTTGTCTGGATTCGGTTAGCTAAGATTTGTTGAAAATCTTTGCATCTATATTCATTAGGGATATTGTCTATAGTTTTTTTTTGTTGCATCCTTTCCTGGTTTTGGTATCAGAGTAATATTCGCTTCATAAAAGGTATCAGGGAGGTTTCCGTTCTTCTCGATGTTGTGGAATAGTTTCTGCAAGATAGGTATAGTTCTTCCTTGTAAGTGTGGTAAAATTCGGGTGTTTGTTTTGAGTACTTCTTGTAGGGCTGGTCTTGTCTTGGTGAATTCTCTGAGACTTTGCTTATCTGAGAATGTCTTAATTTCTCCTTCATATGTAAAGCTTAGTTTTGCAGGGTACAAGATTCTAGGCTGGGCATTATTTTGTTTCAAATGAGTGAGAATGGGTCCCCATTCCCTCCTTGCTCATATTGTTTCAGTTGAGAAATCTGGCGTTATTCAGATCGATTTTCCTTTGTATATAACTTGCTTCTTTCACCTTATAGCTTGTAGGAGGGTCTCTTGTTGATATTTTGGTCAGTCTGATGACTATATGGTGTGGTGTTTTCCTGTTTGCATTGTATCTCCCTGGAGTCCTTTTGGCCTCTTGTATTTCCAATTCTAGGTTACTGGTTAGACCTGGGAAGTTTTCCTCAATTATTTCTTCAAAAAGCTTATCCAACCCTTGGGTTTTTTCTTCCTCCTTCTCTGGAATCCAGTGGACCCGCAGGTTATTTTTCTTCGTATAATCCCACAATTCTTGTAAGCTTTGTTCATGACTCTTATTTTTCTGCTCTAACTCTGTGATTAACTTATTTGATTTGAATGAGTTGTCTTCAACCTCTGAGATTCTTTCTTCTGTTTGATCGACCCTATTTTTGATGCTTTCCACTGTGTTTTGAATTTCCCTGAATAAATTCTTCATATCAAGGATGTCTGCTTGATTCTTCTTCAAGATGTCAATCTCCTTAGTGAATCTTTGTTCCAATTCTTGTATCTTCTTTGTAGTTTCTTTGTGTTGGTTATCCATTTTTTCTTGCATATCATTTAGCTTTCTTACAATCCAATTTTGGAATTCTTCTGTCATTTTAGTGTTTTGGGTTTGTTCAGACTCCGTTTCTTGAGAGGTGGTGTATCTCCTAGGGGGAGTATTTTCGGTTTGATTTTTTGAATTGCGTTGGGCCCTCCCCATCTGGGGTCAATTCTAGAGCTCAGTCGTCCACTTTTTGTAGTTTCTTTATCAACCACTGGGGGGAGCTCTTCCACCACACTTGGAAGGTTCCCCTGACGGGGGTAGTTTCAGTGGTTTCTCCCTAGATTTGGGGGAGAGTGTGTTTTCTTGTTTTGCCCCGCCTCCAGGGGTGGAGCCTACCACTTTTAGCAAGAGAGATGCTGGCTGAGGGGAGGAGGTATCTCCCCAGTCTGCCCTGCCCCCCGGCACCCCAGAGGCTATAACTCTCCTAGGCTGTTAGACTTGTCAGTAGTTCATTGATGGAGCCAGGCCTGGCAAGCCGATGGCAGATTGTGTAGGGGTGGGATTTGCCTGGAGAGACTCTAGGCCAGGTAGGGGAGGGGGACTTGCCCACTGACGGCTGGGCTGTGGACCCCCTCAGTGGTGACTGCTAGCCCACTCGCAGGGCACCAGTACTGGGGGTGACTGATTAGGGTGCAGCCGGTGCCGGGTTGGGAGCCTGGGACAATAGGACGCCTCGTAGCTTCCTCCATGCTGCCTGCCCAACTGTCTGTTCAGCCAGAGCCCTCACTTTTACTGACCCGCCCTGTGCAGTTTTATTCATCCAGGGCAGTTCCAGCTTAGAGCCCCCGCTTAGTCTTGCTGGTTGCCAGAGGCAAGACCTCTAACCACCTCCCCAGTCTGCACTGTTCAGTTTCCTCCTGTCTTGGAGCCATCCTAGCATGGGGTTCATGGGAAACCACGCCGCCTTTCACCATCAACCGCACCCTCTTCTTCTGCCACAATTTCGCACCAGTTTCAGACAGGTCTCTGGCTGGGTGGGTGTGGAGGTCAATGGAGAAGCAAGGAGTTCTCCTGTGGGTCTGATTGTACTTCACCCCCGGCTGGCACGGTGCCCTCCCACGTTCCCTATTGTTTGCTTTGCACTCTCCAGAGAATGCGATCTTATCTCCTGATCACCTTATTTTTCCCCCTTTTGAGAGAGTCCTGCGCTGCACCTCTGTGGATCTTCGATGCTGTCCTTGTAGTGGGGAGATCCACTCACGTGTAGGAGACCGAGATCTGTGTCTCCTTCTCTGGGAGCAGGAGTCCGGAGGGTTACCTCTACTCCGCCATTTTTTCAAAAAAGGGAAGTCATTTTTAATTAAATAAGACTTCCATTTTAAAAAGGCTTATGAGGCCGGGCGTGGGGCTCACACCTGTAATCCTAGCTCTCTGGGAGGCCGAGATGGGCAGATTGCTCAAGGTCAGGAGTTCGAAACCAGCCTGAGCAAGAGTGAGACCTCGTCTCTACTATAAATAGAAAGAAATTAATTTGCCAACTAATATATATAGAAAAAATTAGCCGGGCATGGTGGCGCATGCCTGTAGTCCCAGCTACTCGGGAGGCTGAGGCAGGAGGATGGCTTGAGCCCAGGAGTTTGAGGTTGCTGTGAGCTAGGCTGACGCCATGGCACTCACTCTAGCCTGGGCAACAAGTGAGACTCTGTCTCAAAAAAAAAAAAAATAAATAAATAAATAAAAATAAAAAGGCTTATGAACAGATTCCAAATGCTCTTGATGCTTGAAGAGCCAGCAGAAGCTTCCACTTTAAACCATAATTCACATGTGAAATATGTGAGAACTGAAGTGATGTAATAGAGCAGCAACTGGGATTGACAACAGTGTACAAGCTTGGTGATAAACGGGGGGTGCTGAAAGCTTTGCACCCATGTAACTAAGCACTCAGGACTTCAAGTTCACTTTAGCGAAATCACTGATCCTGGGCTTAAATTCATCCCTGCTTGTTACTAGGACTGTCTGTCTGGATATGTCACTATTATTTGGATTTGGATTTCCTAAATATCAAATAGATTGCACTAGGTGATTTCCATCATTTCTTTCTACTTTTTGATTTCTTTATAACTCATTTTATTTGCTCTGTTATTTCCAGGGCACAACCGTATTAACTTCACTGACTTCTGCACTGCATGATGACAGAGAATTCCCCAACCCAGAGAGGTTTGACCCAGGCCACTTTCTGGATGAGAGTGGCAACTTTAAGAAAAGTGACTACTTCATGCCTTTCTCAATAGGTAATAAAAATTCATTTATATTTGTACTTCAGGGGACAAGATAACTTTTGGAAATCAATCACGTGATATTTCCTCTGGGGCTGATGGAATTCCATTGTACATGATCAATAGCACCATTTCCAATGGCCATTCAATTTCCCTAATATAACACATCCTCATTATTGGGCCAGATTAGTGGGACTTTGAGGAGTTGCTCCAGTTTTTCAAATTGATAAATCTAGATTATAGGTTGATTGAATTCTGCCTCTAGGAATATTGCCGAGCTACCCAAGAGCTCCTCTTAGAGGGTAAAAATCATTTAGACTTTCCTCAGCCACCATGAGAAAGGTTTCTAACCCCACAACTTTGAGTATTTTCTCTGTAGTGTTCCTTACTCCCCAGATTGAGGTCTGGTGGTACAATTGTCCACAAGCACAGAATGGGCTCTTAAGAGATTCACTCTGGATATAGGGAAGCAGGTGAATTAAGAGAGCACTGTGAACCACTATGACAAGTGCTGTGAGACAGGAAAGCACAGGCTGGTGGGGAGGCCAGAGGGAGCATTGCCTTCTTCCTGCTCATTTATGGGCCATAACATTCCACAGGAACAAGTAAATTTGAGCTGCCTCGATGGAGGCAGGGAGCAAGACAAGAATAGAAGGCAAGGCTCTTTTTCAGAGGTAATGGACCAGAGGATCAGGAAATTTTCTATAGATCCAGGGTCTCATACCTTCCAACCAACTGTGGGATCAGGAAAACCTTGGGAATGTGGCAGGATACTCTTCAGTGATTCCAGAGCACATTGATATTTCTCCATTCATGATCATACATTTTGGATATTTGGTCTGCACAGCTAAAGTCTGTGTGCTGAGTCTCTGGACGTAGATTTAACTTCATTTTTCTGTTATGACTTTTGGTGGCTTCTTTGGTTCTGTCCCTCTACCTACCAAGATGTTAAGGGCTGAAACTTCACATTTTATCAGGATAGAAAAAGATATAAACAGAATAGAACTGAAATTGATCCATGTTCCAGTGGAGGCAATATATGAAGGGGAACCCTAGAGAGAGCAAGATTCTACTGTCTGAGGAGATCACAGAGATCATAAAGAGAAAATGATGTGGGACATAGGTCTTGAAGGAAGTATAAGGGAAGTGCTTCTTAGACAAATGAGACAGCATGAGATAAAGCTAGAAGCTTCAGGGTGTTTTGGAGATTGATGAAGAGTTGATATGCCTAGAGCTGAGATTAGAGGATGTGGGGAATGGAAGAAATGGTATAAAGTGTCAGACTTGAAACAGAATGTGAAGGATCAGGTCAATGCCATTTGGACCTTATCTCATAGGAGAGACCATGGAGCCATTTAAGGTTTTAAAGTGAGGGAGTGATATGTTTGGATTGGACATGTGGATTAGAAAGTATGCTAGGGAGAAAAATCCTTGGCTAAATCTTGTGCCAGAGGTGCAAAGGGAAATGCAGTTTGTGAGCCTGCTCCTCTTAGTCCTTCTCTTTTCAATCCCTTGGACAAGAAATGTGACTGGGTCTCTAGAAAAAGATTGATAGAAACTTGAAATGTCCCCAAAGCAGTTATAATGTGACAGTATTCAGTGAAGTACACAGCATAGACTGATCCTCCATAAATATTTGCTGACTGAAGGGTCAAATAAGGTATGAAGTGGATGGTACATGCATCCATCCTTCTGTCCTTCTGTGTGTCTAACCATCCTTCTGGCCATCCTGTCTTTGACCCAACCATCTATCTGGTCATTCCTCAGTTACTGCATACTTTTTGTGCCAGTTCACAATACAGTGTTAAAGGATCAAATCCTCTATGTTTTTTATTTTCAGGAAAACGAATGTGTGTGGGAGAGGGCCTGGCACGCATGGAGCTATTTTTATTCCTCACCACGATTTTACAGAACTTTACCCTGAAATCGCTGGCTGACCCAAAGGACATTGACATCACCCCCATTGCTAGTGGGTTGGCCCATGTGCCACCCTCATACCAGCTCTGCTTCATTCCTGTCTGAGAAAGGGCAGACCATCGGGCAGATGATGGGTTGCCTGCAACTCCCCTCTGGGCATCATTCTCCTTTTTCCCACTTCAGGCATACCTTCTCTGACCTCTCCTCTCACATCTCCCCATTCCCTTAAGATCCATTGAACATCTATCCTCCTTCAATGTAAGGAGAGTTTGCTGAGTTACTGCACCAATATATCTGCTATTCCCCAAACTCTGTAACACTTGTGTTGACCACCACATATGCTAATAATTATGTAGTACTGAGCTGTTAATATGATATCACTATAAAACAGAGAAACATGATTAGTGTATGACAGTTCAGAGACATTTCTCCTCAATATGTTCTAAATAAAAATCATTATTATTTGCTGGATCAGTTATCAGATTTCTTTCTTTTGTGTATAATGTAAGTAATAGAGTCCCAAGAGGCCTTGCTGGTCCTTATAATGATAAGCACAAAGAGGGACAAAGGGGAAATGGGCAAGGAAGTCTTTTGGCTGAGGGTCACCAAGAGTTACTGGACGGTTGGATTCAAAACTGAAAAACTATGTCCAGGAGCAGCTACAACCTGTAGGGTTATAGTGAGATGATCAGCCATAGGGAGGAATGAACATTAAGTGTTAGAATTCATGCTCTGATTTTGTGTTACTGTGAACATAAGATAAATATTTGGAATATTCTTTTTACTTTGTGTTTCCAAGGTAGATTAAGTTGAATATATGCTTTCATACTGCTAATCATGTTCATGATTGTTATTTCTCTTCGTTGAACAACAATAAAATCCCTATTAATCTCACTAAGTTTTATTATTTCTCTATTTTCTACCACATAGTTTTTCACTTAACAAAAATGCAATAGTAAATTAATGCTATGGTCCTGAAATCACTAGCATTATGTCATCTCTAAAGCCTAGGCAACTGAACATCTCGTACACATCAAATTTTAGTCATCTTTTGTCCTTTCTTGAGTATATGAAATGAGAAGTGACATCACCCATTAACCTTTTTCCAGCTCATCTTTAAAAGAAAGCCATTTGTACTTGGCATGCATTTGTAAGTAACACATATGTTTAAGTGTATGTATGGACATTTATATGTGTACGGAGATATATAGTCACACAAAACATACAATATACACACATAAACCTAAGATTAAAAATGGTTCTTTAGGCCCAGTGCTGTGGCTGATGCCTATAATTTTAGCACTTTGGGAGGCCAAGGTGGGAGGATTACTTGAGGCCAGGAGTTCAAGAGCAGCCTGGGAAACATAGCAAGACTCTGTCTCTACAAAAAATTTCAAAAATTAGCCAAATGTGGTTGTGCATGTCTGCAATCCCAGCTGCAGGTGGGAGGCTGAGGTGGGACGATCACTTGAGCCCAGGAATTGGGGGCTGCAGTGAGCTATGATTGTGCCACTTTAGCTTGGGTGACAGACAGAGACCCTGTCTCAAAAAACAAGGTTCTTTAATATGACGGGCACAAGTTATTATATAACTTGCTATTTTGTACTAAACAATATGCCAGAGAAACTTCCATGGTAGTAGAAACACGGGCAAATGATTTTGTTAGATGGTTTACAGAAGAGGATATCGGAATGGCTATTGAACATTTGAAAATAGCTTAAAAATAAAAAATACTAATTAAAACTATAGTACATGTAGTATTAACAATAAAACAGACATTTCCTTATTTAACCAACAGATAATATAGAGCAATTGCTCATCTAGTGTCCCATGACTATGTTGAGTTTAAAGGAGAGAATGAGCAACAGTTACATTAGAGATGTTGCCAAAGTCACCCACCAGCTGGGCTGAAGATTCTCTCAGGTCAGATTTTGGTCAAGATACTTGGAGAAGCTACTGATTGTGAAATTTCAATTACACCGTTATCCTGCTAAGTGAAAAATGTAGCCATTAATAGAACTAAGATTCTTATTATAATATGGAGTCTTCTTCCAGAATCTTGTGAAAAGCTGTCTACAGCCATCAACTTCTCATCCTGGTTTGAATATCTCTGGTTATGGTAGTGGATGGTTTGGTAAATTGTCTGTGTGACTCATATGTCAGGCATGAAACCTGTCCCTTAAAATTAATCCCATCTCAGCTTATAGGGATTTAGGAACAGAGAAGTTCTTATTTTTCTATGGAAGTAATTCTATGGAAGAAAATTAGATTGAAGAAATCTAGAAGAATTCAGATACTAGTCTAGTTTATAGGCAGATAACAAGAACTAGGAAACAATGCATAGGGTTACAATGCAATCTAATAATAGGTGTTTTATAACTTCTTTAGAAGCATAATTTTTTCTCTCAAATTGATCACATAGCAATCTCAGATTTAAAAACCTGCCAAATTAATGCAAAATTTGGATTTTACTTAGAGTCTTAAGGTAAAGTCTTGGGCCTGTCAGGAAGTGACAATTTTTATGCTATCATTGTAACATTGGGAACCCTTGAAGCCAGGAAGCGTATGCACATTCTCAAATATGATACTCCAATCAATGCCTTGGGAATATAACTCATGTTCTCAATTGCATCCTGTTATAGGAGGGAGAATATTTTCATTGCACTTATGGAATAACCATATTGCCATCAGAGTATCCATGAATAGTTTCTAAATTTTGGAGAAACAAAATAGGAAGAGAAAGTAAAAATTTTGACCTTTATTCAGAAAAGTATACTTTATCAAATTGCTGTAAGCTATAAATAGCACAAAGTTTCCTTAAATCAGGAAAACAAAACATTTAAGTAAAGAACCAACAGTATTCCAAATAAAAGTCATAAAACATTATCCATTACTTAATTTGGTGGAATTAATTTTTGTTCTGCTTGATTTTGATTAGTAGTTTTACAAACTAATTGGTTGCTTCATTAGAGAAATGATTGTGCTATTGGTAATACTATATGTTGTAGCTGAATAAATTCGTCTGGGAAAATAGAGACCCTCATACAGAAAATTAGAAAAGAGGTCACATGGTTACAAGAAGCCTTACCTATCTTCTGTAGTCAGATGTGCTACCATGCACCACAAGGTTTCCTTTTACATAACTCCTAATGGTCACTTGATTGTTCAATTGATTGCCTTCAAGCCTAGTTTCATGGCTTAAAACTATTATGCAAACTGAGATTATTATATTACTGTTAATTTTACTTTGTATTTTCCTTTTTAAGCTTTGTACTTGTTACTTGTTAAATTTTTGAGGAACTACAACTCCTAACAGAATAATGCTAGCCCATCACTTTGAGATGATAGCTAACACCTATGGAACAGACAAAATTGAACTAACAGTAGAATCCAGGTAGATTTAGCCTGAGAATAACTCCCTCCAAACCTCCCTTTTTGCTCAAATGTGGCTAAAAGAATTTTGACACTTACTCCTCATTTCCAATTACTTCCCACCAATGTGGGCTCAGGCCAGACTAAACTGGGCTAGGTCCATTCCAGCACCAAGGGACAGTAGGATTAGCTATCTGAACCTGGGTACACCTGCTAAATATTTATGTTAGGTGCATAAATATTTAGAATTGTTATGTCTTCTGCTTGAATTGTGCCCTTCACCATTAATAGTGACCATCTTTGTCTTTCATTACTTTTATTAATTTGAAGACTAAGTTATCTGAATTCAGAACTGCTACACCAGCTTGCTTTTGGCTTCCATTTGCTTGAAATATTGTTTTCCATCCCTCCACCTTGAGTCTGAATGCATCCTTGTGGGTTAGATGTGTTTCCTAAAGACAGCAGGTACTTGGCCGATGTATATTTATCCATTCGGCCAGCCTGTGTTTCTTTAGTGGTCAGTTCACAACATTCACATTTATTGAAAGAACTGTTAAGTGCAGCAGATTTCTGTTCATGCAGTTGAGTTGAAGTTTGTTGCTTTGTTTTCTCTCTTGAGTCATTGTGGTATCTGGTCTTTGATGTTTAGCTTTTGGATGATTTTACATTGGTGAGTTTTTATTGTGCTGATCCATGTGTAACACTGTTTTGAGCACTTCCTGGAGGGCAGGTCTTGTCTTCATGAATTGTCTCAGTCTTTACTTGTCTGAGAAGGTCTTTATTTCTCCTTTGTATAAGACACTTAGTTTTGAAGAGTACAAGATTCTAGGCTGGGAATTGTTCTGTTTGAGTACAGTGAGAATGGCGCCCCACTCTCTTCTTGCTTGTAAGGTCTCAGTTGAGAATTCTGCCATTATTTGGATGGGTTTTCCTTTGTAGTCTACCTGCTTCTTTTGCCTGACAGCTTGTAGGAGGGCCTCTCTGGTAGTTATTTTGGTCAGTCTGATGACTGTGTGTCCTGGTGTCTTCCTGTTTGCAATGAATCTCCCAGAAGTTCTTTGAGCTTCTTGTACCTGGATATCTAGATTTTTAGCAAGGTCTGGGACATTTTCCTCAATTATATGCTCAAATAGCTTATTCAACCCTTGGGTATTTTCTTCTTCACCCTCATAGATGCCAATAATTCTCATGTTGGCCTGTTCACACAATCCCACATTTCTTGTAGGCTTTGCTCTATTATTTGTCTGCAACTGACTTATGTAATTGGAAGGTGTTATCTTCAATCTCTGAGAGTCTTTCTTTTGTCTGATCTATCCTATTCTTGAGGTTTTCCACAGTGTTTTGTAATTCCTTGAATAAGTTCTTCATTTCTAGGAGTTTGGTTTGATTTTTCTTTAATATTTCAATTTCTTTAGTGTATATTTCTTCCAAGTGCTAGATTTTTTTTGTGGTTTCCTTGTGTTGGGTATCCATTTTATCTTGCATATTATTGTGTTTTCTTACAATCTATGTCCAAAATTCTTCTTTTGTCATTTTATTGTTCTGAGTTTGGTCAATATCCATTGCTAGAGAGCTGGTGATACCCTTTGTGGGTGTGCTTTCCATTTGATTCTTCATACTTCCAGAGTTTTTTTTTGTTGATTCCTTCCCATCTGGAGCAGCTCTTGCTGCTTACATTGAGATGTTTGTTTAGATAATGACACACCCAGTTTAGTCTCTGAGCCAGTAGTTGCTGGTTGAGATTTGACCACACCCTGTATGATGATGAGTCAGTAGATGCAGTAAAAGAGTGTGCAAATTGACCTACCTGTCAGTAGGTGGCACTTGCTGGGAAGAGCAAGCTGCTTTGTTTTTGAGTTCTGTAACCAACTCTTGTTCCTCTGGAGACGCACTGTAGTGCCTCAGGTGGTGGATAGGGCCCTGGGACTTCCAGAGGTGTCCTTATTCTCCACTTCAGCAAGTGCAAGTTGGGGAGTGAGACTGAGCAGGGCTTGGTTGGGTGAGCCTCCCCTCAAGCTCCACAAATGCTGTAGCAGGGGTCAAAGGTCTCTTCTCTGCTTCTGGGAAAAGCTGCCAGGGAGGGGCTGAAATACTCCCACTCAGCCAAAAAGTCTGTGTGTGGTGGTGGGGCTGTTGGAGACCTGCAGTCTGGTGCAGGCCTTGCTCCTATCCACTCTCCTCTATTCTGCAGTTTCTCTGATGCCACTGCCAGCAGGCAGGACGTCAATCCAGTGGATCTCTCCTGACTGTGATGTGAGCTGGGAAGTTCCCTATCCAGGATCGCAGCCTGAGCTGGGAGTACAGCCCTCCTATGGAAGGAGGATTGCCCCTCAAGAATATCACAGCTAGGACCCACTCTTATCTGCTCCTGAAGGTTCGTGCATGCACACACACACACACACACACACACACACACACACCCCTCCATAGACTCATTCACAAATATCCCTTTTGTGCCCCAAGGCAATGCAATGGAGACCTGGGTGTATGGGATTCTGCCTGTAGGCCTGTTCCCCAAGCAC